ATCGACATTAAGCAGACTTGTGACTGGGCTCCAAAAGTACACAGAATATGAATTTCAAGTCCTAGCATATAGTTCTGATGGTGATGGACCGAAGAGCCCTGTCAAGGTGGAGAGAACACAGGGAGATGGTATGTGCTAGATGAAGGTGGAAGCGAAAAAAATGATCACAATTTTGAATGGAAGAAATTTCAGTGGACCTGCGAATGAAATTAAAGAAAGAAATGATCTCGTTTACAATTGAAGAAAGAAAGCTAGAAAAAGTTCAGGCTTCAAGAGAATTCAAAACCATGCCTCCTATAACTGGGCTATGAAGCCACACATTGAGAGCGAGGCAAGTTTTAGAGGCTTCTCTGTTGGGTCAACGTAAAATTCTTATTTGTTAATGGCTGCCCTGCTTCAAATAATGGAAGACTAGCACATTGGGGCTTCCACGGTGTCCCTGTTAGGTCCTCTAAATAAATTACGGCTCCCATAGCTGCAAATACTTTGGAAAACAGCTGCAAGCCCCCATTCTAAGCCAGTGGGTCTGTGTTTCCTGGTCATATGTCAAATTTCGCACATATTTTTATTAATTTTTTAGGTTGTGTTCAGAATGATCTTGGAATGGAGGGTAGAAACATTCCAGATAGTAGGATAACTGCTTCTTCTTCCAGGACACCAGCCGAGAATGGGCGACTAAACTATGTATTAGGAGCGCCATGGTGTGCAGAAACAAATGACACTAGCCCTTATCTACAGATTGATCTACAGACACTTCATATAATCTGTGCTGTGTCGACACAAGGGAATTCTAAAGCAGATCAGTGGGTGAAGAACTATACACTACAAATATCCACGGATGGGACAACTTGGACGGACTACATGGAAGGTGGACAAGTCAAGGTATGTAGGAAGTACAGTATGAGACTTAACTGCTCAAAAAAATTACAGTGTACATTTATGACTGTAACATTGACTATAAGGTCTGATAGTTTAGAATATCCCACAAAGATGGAAGTCCTAGATAAGAATTTTTGATCTTATTAATAATCATTTTGGCTGCTAGTTACATTGGTGATATTTTAATCCCTGCCACTTTTTCTAGTTGAAAAATTAGTTTTTGATGATGACTTGTGACTATTTGTTTGTTTCAAGTTTATGAGGGGAAATAATGACAGGAACTCAGAAGTGAAGCATGTTGTTTATGGAGTATTAACAAGATATCTGCGTTTCCTGCCACAAATGCACCAGAGTGGGGTGTGTATGAGAACAGAGGTGTTTGGAGTGGAACAAAAGCCAAGTGAGTTTGAAACTTACTTATACTTATTTTTGCATGTTTGCTATTATCATGTTGTTATTAGTTTTATGTTGTAGGTAATCAAATAAATAGTCACAAGTCATCATCAATAACTAATTAAGTATTAGCCTCTTTATATTTTATTCTTTTAATTTAGTCTTTAGTTTTTTATAGAGTTTCTCCTTTAATTTCGATTAAAACTATTTATCATGATGCTAATCACTAGTTTATACCAACCAGTCTATCAGTTTGCTGATTAGTTTTATCAGTTGAATAAAGCGTATAATTATTATTATTATTATTATTATTATTAAGAAACTCTTTTAATCTTCAAAAAGGTTTTTTGAGACCTACTAGCTTTTCTTTGGTGATTCATGGTTGTGTTTTAGATTAGTGGCTAAATTGTACAAACTACTGTTTCTACACTCATCAAAGACACCAAGCCACCCAGGATAATCTGTTATTCTCATGCTCAGTGTTGAATAAGCTGTCAATCAATTCATCATTGGAACAAAACTCACATCAAAGGAGAGTAGTTGATAGGAAAGGGCTTATGACTGTGAATTTACTGTTGGTACCTTTGAATTTTGATGAGCTTGAAACTCATATTTATTGTTACATGTTTGATATTATCATTATATCATTGTATCTGTTGTAGTGTAGAGGGTCCAGAATAGGTTTTCTTCGGGATCTGGGATTGGTTTTATTTGAAGACCGGGATCTGGGAATTTAGAGTAAGAATGGAGTGAGATGCGGGATTTTTTATATGAAGAGGACACAAAATCCACAATTTTGAGAAGTGGGATTTGGGAAATAGTCACTTAAATAAACTGAGAAACGAAAAGGCCATTGATGAGAATTTTCACAGAAACTGATCTGCAGGTAAGTCCTAAAAAGCCTTGTCCCCCAGCCAGTCGTTTTTTAGAGGATAAGATTTCCCTTCTTACCACAAATGTTATAAACCAGTTATGTTGCATGGCATTAGACATGGAGAATAGTCATTTGGTTGTGCATCATTACAAAGATCCATTTTGCACGATGTTGGAGTGCACAAAAAACTTTTGAAATGCAGCCAAAGAAGGCTTAGAGAGGACAATTGATTGGGTGGTGTACTAGTTTACAAATCCAAAGTCTTGGCATCGTGTACCGATGGCAACAATGGCGCACCAATGGTGCCACAGAGCATGCACAAAATGAGGAACTGAGCATAAACCCTGGTGTAACTGTGCATCAGCTCTTTGTTAGACAGAAAACAATGATGGCAGGAGCTTGACTTCTCCTGTCGTACCTCGATGACAGAGAAACTCAGCCTAGTGAGCCTGTCAGCCTTGAATGCTCTGATTTTAAGGAGTAACAAGAAAACAGCTGGCCACAAGACGACGAGGAAGATGGGAAATATGACTCCCTCAGCAGCGAATTGAAAGAGAATCAGATGAGTCATTTCCAGATGATGAGACCACATGTGATGATGGTGTCTTTCCATCTTTGGAAAGAGGGGCTGATTTTCTCCTTGGCAGGGTTTCCTGCTCGGGAAGAAGAATTTGTTTCACAGCAGAATTTAGTTCAGATGGAACTATGGGATTGCTGTCACCTAATGTTATTTTAGCCATTTGTCATTCGTTTCATTGATAATGAACTGTCTTTACTAATATGTTTTTCCTTGCTCAAACTTAAATCGAATGGAGATGTTGCCACAACCAGCCTACGCTATTCGAGCAAAACTTTGAAAACTTCTGAAATTAACCATACAATCGTCTTAGTGAAATGAGATAATTATGCCGTATATCAGGGTGAACAAAGACTTCAACAGATCAATGTTGGTTAAGAAAATAGGTCGTCGACTTACTTATTTAAAGTCTTGATTCACCACAATGCATTTTTTGTGTGAATTATCAATAAATAATGACATGATTTCTTGTGTAATTTTGTGTGAATAAGCACTTGTAAAAATTTTCCAGACTACAAATTCCACTTGTCCCAAACCAATCGTACAATTTTGTTTGCAAGTTTGGAAAATTTGTTCATGCCTATAGCAAAACCGAAACGGACTCAAAATCGTCTTATTTCCAGTACTACTGTAAGTGGCCAAACCTATTATTATAATGATAAATACTTAACTTTTTATGCACTCATCAAAAAAAGTAAGCCACCTTCGATTATCTTTTATTCTCATGATATTCAACATCAAGTTGTTTCGATATTCACCGAGGGAAACTTCATTATGAACTTTTATAAAATCTGGTTATTTTTTGTTTGTAGATCAGATGTAACTTTTGTGATTTGAAATGCGCATTAAAGAGCCACGCTCAACTAGGATCAGTGCATTGATGGACTATTTGTCATTGTTTGTTAATATATGAAAGTTACTGCGAAGATCGCTCTCATACTCGTATTTGCCATTCTCAACATTTTTTGTATTATTTTTTTTCTACATTTTTTATTTAGGTAGAGTTGGTTATGTATTGTTATTTTGCAGGATGTTCTATGCAAGCCATTGGTGTAGCCAGCACTGACAGCATTCCAGACAGCAGCTTTTCAGCCCCGTCAGAATTTAATTCAGTATATGCAGCTAAATATGGTCGCCTAAATGGTGCAAGGTCATGGGCACCCAATGGCAACAATAATGCTAATGATTACCTTCAAATTGACCTGCTGTTTGAGTACGTCATCTGTGCTGTAGCTACACAGGGAAATCCAAGGGCTAGTGAGTGGACAACAAAGTACAAGTTACAGTTAGCACTTGAAGATCCCAAGTTTGTCACCTATCAGGAAAACAGTGCTGA